GTGTGCGATTTTAAGTGACAGTCACTGTGTATCTTGACGTAAATGCGCTTGTTACATAACTGGGGAATCTTACTGAATCTGAAATACCGACTGAGTGATCGTTTCCGATCGATTTATAATCTTACGTACCTAACTGTTTTAGTATTTCATAATTTTTATAATCACAAAGTACTTAATTTGTATAAAACATATAATTATGAATTAATAATTGTAAATATATAATAATCACATCTGTCGTTATTATATGATTCATTTTTACTTAAAAAGAATTGTAACTGCATAGACCATGCAGATTAAAGTTTGCAAAATTGTTTCACATTAACATTAATGTCGGCTGATAACCAACAACAATGGATGCTGATAAAAACACTAATGAATATATGAATTATATATAATATGAAAACATAATGAATTAGCAATAGTTCGTAATTATCATCACAGATAAGCTACAGTATAAACCTATTACTCAATGCATTTTTTTGCCGCATGTTACGGGGGCACTAAAAGCCCTTTTACCATTTTCGTATCGCTTCCTACGCTACCGATTCAGCGTAGAATAAGATGACAACATTAGTAGTGGTTGAAATTAGGACTAAATGCAACAATGAAATTACAAATAAAATATAGGGCAGCATATCTTATAATAGTACACAAAGCATAGAATTCGATACTTTTACATGTATAATACATACATTAGGTTGATCGGAAAATTCTATCGTTTTATTTTCAAAGTAAGGAAAGCAAAGTTTTTTCAATTAAACTTTTATTAATTAATCTGTGGTTTAATACTTATAGTTACTTATAATTGTCTTCTAAATAACCAGCAATTAATTTATCCCCTTTATGTGAAATTTTTTATTCTTGCGATTAAAATATTTCTCCAATTTATTCGCAAGTTGATTTCTAACGTTAAAGTATTTTCCTACTAACGAATTATCGAAGAATTTTATTAGATGATGCGAAAATCTCAAAAGATATTATTACATTCTTTGAAATATATATGAAATACTATATAAATGTTTTGCATATTTCATAACCAATGAAAGAAGAGAGAGGAGAAGACCCATAAAAGATTAGCTTAGGAACCAATTTAGACAGGGGACTGAAATTTCAGGTGAATAGGAGCAAAAGATATAGAAACCGCATAAAAGCTCACGATACCAAACAGAACATCTTTGCAGATACGGTAGTTATAGAAATGTGGCAATCTTTTATATTTGTCGATTTTACTATCTTTGGGATTGAATATAATTCCTTAACTCACCGCTTCAAATCGTAGATGGGATAAGAAAACCTCTGATTTTTAGCAAGATCGGTATTTCAGAACGTGAGACACGAAATCCCATAAAGTGGTAAGTTTATTCTGTCCCTAATCTGTGGATATACTGACCTAATATTCTTATATTTACCGTTAGAGCTTTATATACCGACAAGTTATGAGACCAAATTATGTTATAAATATCATTTAAATATTTACTTCTTCGAAAAAATATAATTTTGAAATTCAATTATAATATGTTATATATTTAACAATATTTCTAAATTCTGTGTTTAATGTAGATAAAGTAATTATCTACATTAAATGAATTATCAATTGTAGGTAAGTAGAAAAGTATAGTAACAATCAAAAATACATTTCCAGACGATCACTAATTCACAGAGAATAACATAGATATCTTTACTACCAGATTAAGATAAGACATTTAAATTTTTTAAATTATATTGTTTATATATTAAAATCTTAATTCTGACTGTATATTCCCGTAGTTAAATTTAGGAATTTACTTTTATATTAAGTAAAATTTTTCATACTAACTTTTTGTTATGATACAAACAAAAAGCCTATACAATAGGCCTTAACCTATAAATAACTGCACAAATTTGACGTAAATTTCTACAATAGCATTTTAATTACAAAATCTACATAATCAAATTAAGAAAAATAATTTTTTCTACATCTTACCTATTTGCCATCTCTATATCAAGAAATCAATAATTCACAGTTAAACATTTCAAATTATTCCGTTATTAATAACACGTGCTCTATTACTTTAAATGGAGAACTCTTATGTTAAATTATCACGTTCGAGTTCATCTAGAGAAAAAATAATATAGAAGATGTACGGATATTTTTAATCTTTTATTTAATTTTTCTTAATATAATTTACAAACTTGCTTAACTCTCGTATAAATCTAAAAATATAGATGCACGTGCAAGACGTAAATTGATAACGTAGAAAATAACAGGACACTTGCACCGTCCATGAACGTCTAACTCATCCTGCGTACGATCCTCGTTGTACATAGTACATTGTACATTTCCATGTATCACTATACAATAGGTATATTTAAAAATAGTACAAAATATTTTAATTCCCCTCTTCATCGTTATTTCCCTTTTTTCTCTTTCGTTCTTTCTGCATCATTTTCACGTACATACACACAGGGAATTTCATTCCTACTCTAATGTGTACCTCAAAATACAAATTACAACATTGTGATAACTCTCAGTTTGTTCTCATCAAAGAGTTTAGATTCGTACGATTTACCAGTGTCTGTTATTTTTCAATGAGCCGCTTCAACACAGAGAATGGAGTTTAAAATAACCTCTTAAATATTATGCAATTATCGCATAAAATATTATTTTCAATCTACTATTTACTTTATACAGTTTTAAATTCTTAAAATGTTTCATTAAAGTTTTCCTAATTGAAACTTTCTTCAAATTTCTCTAGAAATTTTTCAACGAACGCCTTTATCGTTTTCTCGGAATATTGTTTAAAAGAAAATTTCCTATAACTCCATCTTTTTATAAAATACAATATTCTAATCAGTAATAATACAACTTTTGCTCATTCCATAAATACTCCGTCAGTCAGATTGCAAGGAGCATGGTTTTTTTTTTAAAGGCACAGTACCACTCAAAGGGTTCAAATACGAGCGGCATAAAATTGACGAAGAAGCGAGCTCAACGAACAAATTCCACAGACGTTCCTTCTGGAAAAGAAACGCGTTTGGACCGGTAGTAAAACCGAGGGGGATTATGGTTGCGGTTGGACGGTGTATACTCGGTCACAAAAAGACTCTTAATGATCCTCTCTGGCGGCAGAATGGAAGAAAAAAAGAGGGACGGTGTTCGTCTAGGGTCAGGAATATTTTTAGAAGGGAGCAGGTACCACCCAAACCAAGTAGCTTCGACACCCTATTGCACCTGTCACCTGTGGCAACAGTGGCACAGGTTCTTCTTGTGGCCAAGAAATTTGCATTATCTCTTCTTCGAATTGTTGCGGACAATGGAGGTTAGGTTTTATAATCCTTTTCCCTCTTCGTTTACGGCACTTTTCTTCCCTCTGCTCGTGAAAGCTTCTCCCGAAAAATTTGATTCTCTATTCCGAGCTTCATGAACTTCTTACATTGTTGTAAACTTCTTAGCGTACATTAAGGCACATTTTTCACTGATTTTTTTTATATAGCTTCTTTTTATTATTGTATAAAGGTGCATTAGATCATTGTAAAAGTCTCATAATGGTCGAGATACTTATTTTGATTTTAATTCAATTTACATTCATAGTTAGAAAGAATATACCAGTCAGTTTTTCTAAGAAAAGTATTTAATGACTTCCAGAACGATGGAATTAATATTAAATAAATTCATTTTACAATGATCCAATAATTTAGAATGAGCATTTAATTTGTACTCATTTTCATTTTGTGAAGCATCTATGAAATGGAAATTGCAAAACTACAGAAAATATTTATATAGTAACCAGTTACTTTTTCTAAATGTATATAATTTAAAATAAACATTTTAACTGGTTCTTGTTTATTTTCGTGTTAACCCTGGGACACTCATGAGATTGGAAAATTGACGCTATAATTGGGAAGAATATTGGTAGTTAGTTAAATGAATTTCTGTTTGATTTAATGAACGACGTTAATAGAATATTGATCTAATATGATTGATGTAAAAGTACGAAATTTTTATTCATACGCAACATGTAAAATAAAATTCAGCATTCCAGTGTTAACTAAATTTCATAGTTCTATGTACATAAACGTGTTCTCAATGCACTAATACAATAAATTTTTATCAAAGTTAACGCTTTCAACCTCCTCACGTTGTACTTTTTTTCACGGCTTTCTTTCTTCTTACTTGCTTCTTTCTCATTGCATATAAAAATACAGCCATGTATAGCTACAGATAACAATTTGTTTTAATTGCCAACGCGAATTAAAAATGTATCAAGTAACAGCAAAAATATTGTCACGATTTAATGATCACATTCTCAATCACACAAAATACATCAGATAATAAACATAAACTGACGTTCTCGTTTTCATTTTTGCAATTTAACTACATGTTCAATAAAATGTAACAATAACATTAATATAATTTCTCGTCTTCCCTTCTAATTCAATGTTTCATTACAAATTAATAATCCAGCAAATTTACATATTTCTAATATTTTGATATGTACAAAAATTATAAACGCTCTATTCATAAACAATTATTTAATCTTGTAGTAAAAGGGATTATACAATTTATATACTTCCGAGTTCTTAATAAACTAAACAATACCACAGTCTATAACAAATTTTCAAAACTCTGAATCTCTGACAGACTTCTATCGTTGCATAAAAAAAAAAAAAGAAAAAAATATGTGTGCTATTGTATCCCCATGAAAATCGATGAAAAAAACAATATCATTTGATCGTCGTGACAATATTCCTACCGCTTAAGAACATCGCTCACATTTGGCATTTCTTATCTTCTCCAATACATAAGAGATCAAGAATCGAAGCTAGCGTAAGTTCATAAAGACAACTTATGCAACGGAGTCAAGCAAATCTCCAACGAGATCAGTTTAAAAACCCCATCTCGTCCCTATCATCATAGATCATACATTAGTATCAAAACTTTCCAAGTTAAGAAACCATCGACATATGATCCGACGCAATTTGAAATCCGTATTGCTCCTTACACATTTAACCACTTCGTTCTGCCACTTCTTCATTACCCCGTTCAACTACAAAAATACTCCTTACAAAAAGATCAATCACTTCAAAAACCATATCCAAATGATGTCCATGAAAATTCCATTCCAAACAAAATGTCCCTCTTTCCAGAGTTAAATTTAAAGTAGACGATCATTTGGTATCTCCCCCCATTGTGGACTGCCCCTTCTACCGGCGCATTATGTCTGCTATAGTGAATCCTTGCCTGGCGGGAGCAGGCCTGGGAGGCGGTGGTGGCTGAGGGGTGGGTGCCCTAGGGGGTCGTGACACCTCTTCCTCTCGTTCTCTGTCACGTTCTCTCTCTCTACTCTGTTCGATCTCGCGCTCTCTCTCCCTCTCACGCTCTTGCAGCTCAAGAAGCACTCTTGACGGTCCCGGTGAACCGATCCTTCGTCTGTACGAGGTCAGAATTAACGGGGGAGGGGGTGGCAATGCGGCTGGAGGGTTCTGTGTGATCGAGTGACCGTTCGTTCCACCGCTAGTCACCGTGGACGGTTTCACGGCTGGAAGTAGGTCTCTTCTGATCTGCAATTGAGGTCTCTGAGAAAGTGTGCTGGTGGTAGCTGAAACTGGAGATGGCTGCGGTGGTCCCGATGACCCTTGCGGGGCGTAAGACGCGTTGCTTGTAGAAGATGGCAGAGAACAGTTTGTCGTAGACACTGACGTCGATGACGACGAGCCAGCCTCTGGACAATCCTCTTCCGGGCTGTCGTCGTCCCTTAGAGCTTCCTCCAAAGCCTCAGGTGGCACGTCGCCTACCGCGTGGGTCAACGCGTGCCTCCTGAGGTCGCAATTCCTGCGGAACACCTTGCCACAAGAGGTACACTCGTAAGGCTTGTGGTCTGTGTGCGTGAGGAGGTGCGTCTTCAGGTTGCTGCGCTGGTTGAAACTTCGTGCACAGACAGGGCACTTGTGTGGTGACTCCTCCATGTGAAGGATCTTGTGCACAGCCAGGGTGCGGCTCTGGCAGAAACCCTTACCGCATTCGCCGCATTTGAATGGCTTCTCTTTGCTGTGGATGTACCTGCAACGAGCACCAGACTGTGTCAGCCGATTCGAACGAAGAGAAGATGCTGAAGGTGTTCTGTTAGTTGCGATTAATTTTGTAATTGAAGCAGAAAAACTGTTAAAATTCAGAGTAGTAGAATGATGGTGATTTGAACGGTATTTTAGACAAGTTTGATGCAAGGTATAATGTTAAAGATTAAATTAGTAAAAAGGTGAGATATTTTAGTAGGAATAGATTGCAGAATTTTTTATTAATATTTTGAAATATTATGATTATCACGTTTCACGGTCCACATGTGGGTCACTAGAGTCCAAAATCAGAAATCGTATATTTTTTATACAGAGACTGGTTTATGTTTCAATTTTTATATGAATAATTCAATTATGAGTGTTATTTACATATTCAATTGGAAATTACAATAAATTTAATAAAAATGTTCAACGAGCGAAACAGATCGTGTTCTTAGATGTACGAGGAGAGAATACGATTTCGTCTCGGACTGTGAACGTGTTAATGAAATACTATAAAAATTATAAGCTTGAAATTGTAGTGATAGGGTGATTAATTAATGATGATTAATTTAAAATTATAACGTGTTAAAAACTGAAGAAAATTAAAATATTCTAAACATTGAGAATGTTGCTGTTTATCGAAAAAAATGAGTAATTTTAGACTACGATGAATGTTTACAATTTAATACATTTATGCATATTAACATAACTTGTATTTATGGACTTTTAATTTGCATATGAAAATATCTATTTGCTTTAAAATATTGTATCAAATATGGTTATCATTTTTCACTTTTTAAATAAATTTTATATTAAATTTTACTTAATTATATACATTTACAAGAACTGTACAAGAATAACAATTTAAACGAATATAAATAAATTACTTAAAACACTAATTTTGCCAAGTCATACTATTGTTTTTAAATAAATGCAATGCAGATACTTTCGTTGAATGCTTTAAATAAAACATAATTAGCATAATTTGTTATTGTCACTATTATCTTCGTAATGTAGCTACTTAGTAACCAATTTAGATTGTTGAAAATCATGGCAATGCTGCATGAATGTAAACTATTTAACATATATAATACACATCGCTGTCCCATTCCCAAAATTCTCTTAACCAACAAAATATTAATTAATTAATTAATTACATTCGCAATATGTTTGCAGTAAAAAGTTCATCGTACAAAATTTACCAAAAGCAATTAATTCATAAATATTATTTCTACAACACTCAAATTACACAAATACTTGTTCATCCTACCATCACCAACACAAACAGAAAATTCTTAAACCAGCATTGACATTAACAATAAATAACAATTGATCTCATCCAAAAAAACGTACAAATTTCCACTAAAAAAATTCCACTAAAACGAACATTATCCCCCGACAAAATTACCTATGATCCCGAAGGTGATCCTGCCTTCTGAAAGCCTTGCCGCAGATGTCGCACGAGTACGGTCGCTCGTCCGTGTGTGTTCTCTCGTGTATCAACAAATTGTACGATTTCGTGAACTGTCGATTACAGAATTTACATATGAACTGTTTCTTGGGCCTCGATGCCCTGCCAGGCGCTCTAAGGAGCCTCCTATCTAAATGCTGGTGCGCCAAGGGTCCACCAGGTGGGTAGAGGGCAGATCCTCCAGGGAAAGGTCCAGCGAAAACCGGATAACCAGGAGGTGGTTCTAGAAGTGGCGGTGGGGGTAGCAGAAGAGCCCTAGCAGCCAGCTCTTTCCTCTTATCTGCCATCATAGCCATGATCTCGTAGCTGGAGGATGATTTCCTCGCGACAGATGTCTCCGCGCCGACCTCATGGTCCGAGTTTGACGTGGTCGACGAGGACGGAGGTGGTCCGGTGAGATGCGGATGCATCTCACCTGGATAAGGTGCCAGATGCAACCTCGAAGGTACTACAGGCACGAATGCTGAGGATTCGCGGTGATGAGGGTGACCGAGACCAGCTACCAGGCCATGTCGATGGTGGTGATAAGCGGCAAGGGCGCTAGACGGATCGAAGCCCCTCGAGGTCGACTGTGCCGCTGATCCTGAGGATGATGCACCAGCTGAAGAGGGAGCCGACCTTGGTGACGGCCCAAGGCCCAGGTCCCGACCTCTGCTCGTCTCCTCCGAGACCGTGGCCGAGACCGAGGCCGACGACGCCACGATGTCCGTCGGCATACCGATGACACCTGCAATTCAAACCAACCCTTCTGCTCATCGCTGGTTGTTTTGCAATTTTTCAATGGCCTGTTGTTGCCACGCTTGTTTACCGTGCGAGATGAATTTACATTTGAAGCTTGGAATGTGTGGGATTAACAGATACTGAAACGCACTACCGTCTACCTGTCAGGTGATTAGTTAATTGTATAGATATCATTCCAGTGCGTGTACTTTGTAAAAGGAAAGAATTCGTTTTTGTTTACAATATCAATTTTTTAAGGAAAATTGATTTTTGCAATGTCTGTCTATAAAATATTAAATCTATTAAATATCTTATAAAGAGTTACTGCATTTACTCAAGTGGAAAAGTTGACAAATTAGAAGAGCTATATTAGCTTTCTATTCAATTACCTTATCTTAGTAAGTGCTTTTTCCACTTCCTTTCTTTCCTCTCTATGTACAATTACGTATATTGTTAATAAGTTTTATTTCAGTAGGTTTTTTGTCTTGGGTAAAATATTTTCTTTCTTTCTCATGCTTTTCTGCAAAATCAGTTCATAATATTTCCTATAATGGATAAATAATAATGTATTTTGAAATTAAAATCCTATATGTTAATACACTTAATTTTCTTTAATGAATTTCTATGAACCAATAAATGCTTGTTTATCATAAAGCATTTGTTTGTTTCGTATTGATTTTGTAAACAAAATAGTGACATTGTTTCGATGTTCAGAACATCGCAGTCGCAATATAGCGATCAATGAATGCTTTCTTTTATTTTTTTGTAACTGATGAAGTTAAATATTTTTATTTTCACCCTATCGTTACGATAAGATAAGACTTTTACTACGTGCAATGTTTACTCTGACATAAATGATTCAGAGTTCTTGAAAAAGTATGAAACAGGTAGTGGCAGTATTTTGAGACAGCAACTTCTAAAATGACTTTCACGTTGTTGCAAAATCAGTAACGCGTATACTTCGATTACGAAATGCCATGGAAACGCAATTCAAGGACTTTAGAAGCGTTTACAATATTTCTCTTTCCTTTAACTTAACAAATCTTCTTTTAGCTTAAGATGCATTGAAAAACAAAGCGACAGAATAGAATCACTGTGTCCTGAAAAACGAATCTATCATACGCATATTAACACTTTTAATTATTACTTTGATAGTGAATGTAGGAATCCACGTGACAAGGTTAAGTGTAAACCACGTTAAACATATCCGCCATCTTGCTATTCATCCGTGACTACCATTAAACATCCATACATATTGCTTTTATTGTAACTAAGAAATCCGATATTTCATAGGGCGGTTTACACCGTTGCTTTGTCTCTTCAAGTCAAGAATAACCTTTTTTTAAACTATCTCAAGAGATTGGAAAATTCTTTCACCGCAGTTCACTGTAAACGAAACACTTCATTCGAGCATTTGTTATCAGATATCGTCTCTTTAGTAAATCCATCGTTTCACCTTTTATCTATCGATCGAATCTATCGAGTGATTAAAAGAAGAAAAAAAAAAGAATTCAATCCTCTCAAGAAACGTCTCATTCTCAATAAAAGCAATCACCAACCATACAGACTTCACATAAAATAAAAGTCTAAGCCGCCTCAAGATAAAAGTATGACTAATTGTTGATGTTCCTATCGCATATCGCATTTCCCAGACAATTGTGCGATAATACATGGAACCCGCTCCCGTTTGGCCAGCCGCGTGCGTCTACGAACGTGAACTGGTTATCTCGAGTCGAGCACACCTGCCAACATGGCTCCCGCGGACCCAGCGGTCACGGCTAGTCCCAGCGGCCATGTTGGAATCGCGAATGCCTATAGGAATGCAACAAACGTGGACCAGCCCGTTTCCACAGATCCCCAGGTTCCAGCGAAACGCGAACGAAACGCAATCCTAGAAATGCTCACCAGAGGAACGTCGGCCGAGAACACTTTCCGATTTCACGTTTAATCTCTGCCGATGGTCCACCGTAATTGCATCTCCGTCTGATACGTTCGATCCTGTCCAACGTTCGCTGGCGGAAGCATTCGTCGCGGCGACAGGATCGGGCTACATTGATTCGTTCACTCGGCACCACGCTGTTCCTCGTTTCCCTGTTGTTTTATCGAGAAACCATCCGCGAACACCCACGTAAGCACGCACACATACACAGATCGATCCGCACTAGCGACACACTGTGAATCGCGCACAGAATTGGAAGGGGGGCACACGGATTTCGGACACGAATCCCAACCGTCCACCTCTAGAAGTATTACTCTCAGAGCACCTCCTCTTCCGGGATGCAGATCACGCGGAAATACGGTGAAAACAGGCGTCGGGAGAGAAACCGTGGCAGCCACAGAGACGCGTTTATACGTCCCTTCTTTCTCGTGGATCGTGGACACGAAGGAGCGCGCGGTTTACTGCGTGTTGGACGCCGCCAGGTAGGCTACCTCGGCGCACACCCACGCAGCCGAGGCACACGCATGGTCCACACGCACGCGAGCACACAAGTAACCGACCACGACTTGCCTGGGAGTCTTTCCGTTCAGCTGCCGCTAGTAGCGCTGCTGCTGGATGCTGTGCGCTGACTGCCTCGCTCCTGGCCGACGGTGCGACAGAGTCCGATGGAACCGGCCAATGGGAGTCCAACCGAGACGTAGGAGAACCTGGAGCAGGCTCTAGCGATGGGAATGAGACTTTCGTGTACAGACTATGGTAGACCAAGTTTCAAGCTGCCTGTTTTTTTGCCGAGATAACTCGAAAATTGATCGCTTTGAAGGAAGTCTGGATGATTAGCTGTTTTGATTTTAGAGCTGATTATATTACAATAAAGATATTAACTTTGGAGCAATAGTACGTTGTAATGTTACAAGTTGTTTACTCTTCAAACTACTTTCAAACGATTGTAGTAAGTTTTTTGTAGCGTACACTAGTAAGTACACTGAACGTCATTGAAAAGGTAATAGTTAAGAGGGTATTATGTTTTACTGGAAACAATAACAACGTGGGAAGTTAGTTCGGTTTGGAAGTTCATACAGCCACGTGGATTCCATTTTAAGACAAAGAACGTCACGTATGACTGTAGAATGAGATACCTGAAAATTGTAGTTATGTAATTTCGGGATCACGTTCGAGTTCATGAATTTACGTAGAGGTTAATTTAAATCGGAATAGAAGGGACATTTTATTCGGAGTGTCGGAATACGGGTACACGCTTTACGTGTGCTTATTCTAATATGCTTGAATGCACATGTAAGGGTGTATTGTATTTACGTAATCCGTATACAAGTTTAATTTAATTTGCATGAAAATTTGAATTAGACATGCAAATAGAAGTCGAAGCAGTCTAGAAATTTGTGTTTAAATGGAAATTCGTGGAATAACGTGGTGATCCAGCCAACATTCGTATCTTGTAATGTAAAAATCAAATACGTATTACAGATAACATTACATGTTAACCTAAAATTGAGTATACTTCAGAATTAATGTATAAGCGGATTTTATTCAGTATGCATTGCAAAATCTACAAAAGTGACTCTAAATTAAGTAGCTTACTTTCTCAAATAAAGTGAAATATTTTAACAATAACGGAGGGATATACAAGGTGGGCCACGTAAAACAGACCACCTATTTATTTTCTCTAGCTATGGTGGTACGAAAAAATTTGTATACGTAATTTAAGTAGCTTTAAAGAGTGAATGCCATTTTTTTCTATTTTTCAAGGTATCCTATGTTTTTTTTTTGCTGTGTTATGCCCACTTAAATTGCGTAATAATACAACCTTAAAATTTTAAATCAAATGTGAAACTTTCTTTCAGTTTTTGTCATTTCTTCCATCAAAGAAATTTTTTTTTCCATTTTATTCACTCTTTGATACCATTTAAATTATGTATAAAAATGTTTTCGTACCACGATAGCTACTAGAGAAGATAACTAGGTGACCCATTCTGTATAATTGTTAATATAGTTGCAATCTATTGCTTTCTATTGGTTAATCACGATTTGATAATACTTAATAATTTAACAATTTATTGTTTATGTTGTTTGTTTAGTTACTGAGTGCTATAATGGACTAAGAATTTCAAATATTACTTCATATATATTTCAAAATGTTTACGCAATAACATCACAGGTAGTGTGGACCCAATTATATGTCAGTGCTTATATCGCAACGATACCATCATACTTACAATTATTTCAAAATTGCCATCTATGCATTGCAGAATTACACGCTAAACCCCCAAAATATTTTTCAGATCTTCAAAAAGATCGAACTTTCCAGCAAACGTTTTCTCTGAATTGGAAGCTTAATCTGGGATCGAATCCATCGCTAACAGAGATGTAGAGCTAAGGGGACCAGGAACGAGGGAGGGAGATCCACGGGTATCCTATCTACCAGTGCCTACGACGCGGTGCCGCGCAGGTTGAACGCAGGAGGTTTACGTAGGGCCGTGGTATGAGGAACAGGTGCGTAATACTAAGATTCGGTGCCCCTCTGATCAGTAAACACCGATCTCCTTCGAATCCGTTTCTCCATCTAACAAACCCGCACACTTTCATGGAATCCACCTTCAAATTCCACCGTATAATCATTTTACCGTATCCACCACAGGTATCGTCCAATATTACCTGAAAAGAAGTCTCGTCGACGCAAGTAACAATACTTACACACCTGATCAGTCCGTTCTAAAAGTGATCGACAACGTGGTAGCTCCTCGTTTCCCGTCTCATCTCAGCTTCATCCCCCGAGAAGTAGGAAAGTTGAATTCCAGGAGGGAGCCAGTAGCCACGGAGCGTATTATTTATCAGAAAGGGGCCGATCGCGGCGATCGCGTCACGCTCGAAACGCGAAGTTCGGACGAGCGAGACGGAATGTAAAAAATCGTGGGGCAGGTTGTAAGTCCACTTGTAGGAAACTCGTGCGGCGCCGGCACTGAAGGAGATCGGTTGTTGGTGGGCGGGAAGGGGAGAGGCCAGCGGCCAGAGGCACTCAGAGAGATCGAGCCTCGATCTTTCTTCTTCCTCTCCTGCTCTCGTATCTTCTCTTCCTTTCTCTTTCTCTTCTTTCTTCCCCGTCCATCCAATCCATCCCTCTCCCTTGCCGAGCTGCCTGTTCTTTTTTCTTTCTTTCTGTCTCTTTTCTGCTGGCAGCAGCCGCCAACGCCCAGCCGGTTTTACACCGGCGAATCGATCCAATCGAGTGTCTCGGAAGAACGAGGCTGGTTCTAGTTCATGGATCGTGGATTTCGCTCCACTTGCCTAGAACAACCGGCGTAATTGTTCGTCTGCCTGGTCCCAGGGGATTCGCTCGCGCCGCGCTCGCTGCGCCACGCTTCTTTGCAGCGATCGAACGGGATATAAGGCACCGGAGAAGCGTGTTCGGTGGGACGCTGTGCCTCGCTCTCTTCGTTTCTTCGTTTCGTTTTGGCTCACCTTCGTTTCGTTACAGTGGCTACGCAGACTGCCGCGTATTCCTCTTTCGATCGGGCCACGCCGTTTGTTTGGAGCCAGCTACCTCCTTGGGAGTTCCACTCTGACAGAAATTCTCGTGGTACCAGTAAATATGATCGGGTTACTTTATCCGATTTTAGAACGCTTTCGTGTGTTGTAGATTGCACAAGTATGAACTGTGTTTTTGATGATTTATAGGGTCGATTAATTAGTCGTTGTTTAGTTGGTTCTGCGGGCTGATGTGCATAATGAGATAAACAAATGTCTTGAAATAATGTATCAGTTCATTGTATAGGTTCGTGTCGAAAGCGAAAGATATTTTAATGAAAATCCAAGGAAATTCTATAGCGACGACAAAATGGTTTTATAAACAAAAGTAGGAAAAAGTTGGGAAACCAAAAGGCACTTACGTTTCTTTTTTATCAAATTTAAAGGTTTGTTGAAAATATTAATATTGTAAAATTCGACATGAATTTACGGGATGACCTGATAGATTAGTAACCCCTACTACGTAAACGTATGTTTGGTACTTTTAACACAAAATATACCGGCTAACAATAAGTCAAAATGACCCTTCAGCAACTTTCCAAAAAAAATAAATGTTCAATACTGATAAGTATTATCGTATTATTGATATGAATCGAATTTTTTAATTAAGTTTCAGTTACATATAAATTCTCTCTTGGAAAGTGCTTATGGGTCATTTTTGACCCAGTCGATGGCCACGAATTTTTCTAAAAATCTGAAAAATTTCATATAGTTTCTTTAAAAGTTCTAAATAAAATTCCACTATCGAAGAACGTTCTTTACAAGAGGAAACGAAAGTCCGTTGCTAATTAGTTTCCGAGAAGTCAATACCTTTAGAATTAACCCGGATAAAATTGATCCACGTTTATAGAGTCAGGAGTTAAGTCAGATGTGTTTCATCCGAACAGGAAGTTTTTATGCATGGTATTCTTTAGAAAGGGCAATGAATGGAAAAAGAAATATACGATGCTGCGTATAAGTTCGGAGCGGGGGGATATAATACAGTTTATGGGACTTCCAGTGCCATATGTAATCCTGTGTATACAAGACCAAAAAGTTTGTCTCTTTTTAATATGCATAAGTGGTGTATAAAATTGATACGTTTCAGTAAGAGTGAACAGTGTGTCTATTAAAAAATTAGGAAGTTCATTCTGTGCTATTTAATGCTTTAGTATATTAATTTAAGTAAAATAATGTACAATCTATTGGATAAATTTGATGCGGTTGTTAAAGTGAAATCAACACTATTTAGAAAGTAGTAAGATGAAAAGTAATTGTATCTTATAAATGAGATACCTATGAGTGGTAATTGGCGTAGAATTTCAAATTAATTTCCGATAATGAAAAAATATGTTTCAGGAGTAGGTGCATAACATAAATGTACAGGATTCGTTAATAGAAAGTACAATTTTCGGCTGTTTAGAACTAAGTTTATTATAACTAATTATCTAAAGTAAATAAAGTTTGAAGATACTATTGGAATTTTATAAAATTTCCTAAGACGTCAT